CTAACTTTTGATATGTCGTGAAAACACAGCCCCTTCCGTAGATGAACTCATGATCTCCTTCACCCTTTCAACGTGTAGCCACCCAATTCCTGGCACGCAACTCCCTCTTCCCTCCCTTCTAACTGTCACGACAGTGAGGTGGCTCCCTTCCTGCCTAAGGACAAGCCCTGGTCCATTCTGGAACTCACCTCAATGCTTCCTCAGGGACCTCCATGTCTGAGATCCCCTCTAATGAATCTCTTCCATCAACATTCATAATTCTTAAAAAAACAGCAGTAACAGCAAAAAGGAAAAAAAAAACATTGACCAAATGGGGAAGGAAAAACATATAAAGTATATTCCAGACAAAAGACTAGTTTCCCCAATACATCAAGATTCCCTCTGATTCCTCTAATAGGAAAAGATCAAAAACTTTGAAGAAAATGGATAAAACACATGAATAGACAGTTTGCAGAAAAGGAAATTCAAATGACTTTTATATCTGTGATAATGTATTCCACCTTATTCAAAAATGCAGGTTAAAACTATATCAAGAATCTTTTTTTGTCTTCCAGATTGGCAGATACCAGTGTGTCTGGCTGCACTCTCTATTGGAGGCTGTGGAAATGAGCATCTTATCTGCTGCTGGTAGGCGGGTACATTCTAACAGACTCCATGGAGAACACATTGCCGGTATCTTTTCAAATACAAACACACATAACCCTGACCCACCAATTCCACGTCTAGGACTTTATCCTACCTATGGCCACCTATATTTGCAAAGTGACTGAGGTACAAGGGGATTTTGTGGGAAATCATTTGTGGTGGCAAAAGGCTAACCCCCCCCCTCGTGTCCAAAAAACAGATTAGTTAAATAAGTTCTGTGACATCCATATGCAGTCATAAAGCATTTTTTTTCTTCCCAGGTTCAAGCAATTCTTCCGCCTCAGCCTCCCAAGTAGCTGGGATTACAGGCACCTACCATGATGCCTGGCTGATTTTTGTCTTTTTGTAGAGATGGGGTTTCACTGTGTTGGCCACGCTGGTCTCGAACTCCTGACCTCAGGTGATCTGCTGCCTCGGCCTCGCAAAGTGCTGGGGTTGCAGGCATGAACCACCTCACCTGGCCAAGAAGCAGCTTTCTATGTACTGATACGAAAAAACCTTACATTAGATAGCTAAGTGGAAAATTAAGACTCAGGGGCAGAGTGGACGCATGTACCACCATCTGGGGGAAAGAATCTATATATGTCTCCTAACATGCATGGGACTGCTAACGTTGCCTCCAGGAGATCACGGGAGATGGGGGTGAAAACTCTTCCTAGTGAGATCCTTAACCCACTTCTCTTTCTGGCTTTTTCACTCTCTCCACCTCTACTGACACATTTTTGGAAAAACTGTCTGCCAGCTGCCTCTCTTCCCACCTGCTGCCCAGTCCTCAACCATCTCAGTCTGGTTTCTCCCCGTAGCACTTCTCATTCCTCACCTCACTCGCTCATGCTCGCAGGCTTCACAATGGGCCGTGCCCTTCACCTGGAGCCCTCTTCCAGGGCCTCCACAGCCCCATTCTCTGTGGGGTTCTCCTCTCTCTCTCCCAGAATGTGTTCTCCATCTCTAAATGTTGGAGCTCCTGCTGCTCCCTGCCAGGCCCTTGTCTCCACGCTCCCCTTCTCAGTCCGCAGGCTCTCCTGGGGCTGTCCCATCCACGCAGGCTTCTCTCATCACGTGTACACATAGAGCTTCCAACTGTGTATCTCTCTTCCGGGCTCAGCACTCCACCTGCTGTCTCCCAGGTATCTCCAACCCAGCATGCTCCAAATGTAGTTCACCAGCTTCTAGTCGGTTTCACTCTCTGCACATGGGGGATTTCCTTAGCACTCTCATGTCCAAACCCTTTCAGTCATCAGAACCTAGAGTGTTCCCTCTTGAAAATCTCTAGAATCTGACCCTTCTCTCCCCGCTCCACCACTGCTCTCCCTATCAAAGCCTTCCCCACTCATTCAGTGAGGAAGCTACACCAGGTTCCTCACTGCTGCCTCTGTGCTGTCTCCCACCCCAGGGCCTCTGCACTTGCTGGAGCCTGTGCCTTGACTGCTGTCCTCCACTCTCCACCCCTGCTGTACCCTGATTAATTCCTGTCTGTCTTCCGGAACTCAGATTAACGTAACTGTCTCAAAGAAGCCTTTTGTGATGCCTAGACCCATGGATCTCACCTGGTGTGGTTTTGCCCCCCAGTAGACATTCGGCAATGTTTGGAGACATTTTTGGTTGTCACAAGCAGGGAATGCGTGTTGCGGCTACTGGAATCGGTTGCATCGCAGCCAGGGACGCTGCTAAACATCCTCCAGTGTACAGGACAGTCCCACATGACAGAGAATTATCTGGCCCAAAATGTCAGCAGGGCCAAAGTGAGAAATCCTGCCCTAGCCTGTCATGTCCCCAGGACACATTTCCATAACACACTCCATTTCTCCTGCACACCTGCCATCACCATTCAGTCTTTAGCTGTGCAAAGGTATTGGCCAGGTTCCACTCTCTGCGCTTGACGGGATGAATACATGAATTAACGTCACTGAGGCATGTTGACGTCTGGATCTCCACCCACAGTGTCCAACCCAAGCATACATCCTCGAGCTTGTCCGAGAGAATGTGTGGATTGATATGACATGCCTGGGGCAGGGATTGAGCCACACCGAGCAGAAGCCACCCCATGTCCTGGCCTCCAACTCTGCAGGGCCCTTCAGGTCACCTGACGGTAGTCCTTGCCTTGGTCCTTGACCGGCTTCTCACCCCGTACTCTGCACCGCCTTTGCACTCTTGTCAATTCCTCGACTCTCAGTTCATCTCCCTGTGGTTCTGTGGGCCCTTTAAAGCCCCCAGGCCTAAACGCATCTACTCCACATCTTGTCAAACCAGTTGCTCCTCCAGTGAGCTTACCCAGGTGGCTGCGCCACTGTCAGCCCAGCCAACAAACCAGAATTCTGGGCACCCTTGTGCAGCAAGGCGCCCCTCAGACCTGCTCCTTCCGCCTCCCCACCGATAGCCACAGGGTCCCCCAGCTTTTTCCTACTTGGTCTTCTTGCCTCAAGCCTCTTTCTCTCTCAGTCCACCTGGGACATTCCTCCCCACTGTCCTTCTAAGATGACCATCGGCCTGTCTCACTTTCTGATGAAAACTCCCTGGACATTTCTCACTGTCCACAGGGCAGAGCCCAAGTTCTCCAGCCTCGGGTGGGGGCGGATGAAGGGTGCAAGACCTTCCATATTCTCCCCAGCCCCTCCCACCCTCCATGGCCTCATCTCCTGCCCCAGGGACCAACACCTCGGTGCCCCTTTCTTCAGGCAGCTTGGGCTTTTCCCTTCCCTCCTCTCCCCTCCCTTTCCCCCTGAGGTGCCCAGAGATCCCATGCTCATCCTTAAAACCTAGTTCAAACAAACACCTCTTTCTCAATACTTTGGCAGTTCTCAAAAACTTAAACGTAGAATCACCATATGATCCAGATACTCCACTTCTGGGCATGCATCCAAAGGACATGAGTGCAGGGATGCAAACAGATATTTGCATGTTCATAGCAACATCATTCACAGCAGACAAGAGGTAAAGCAACCGAAGTGTCGGAACAAATGATAAACAAAATGTGGTATATACCGGGAGGCGGAGGGTGCAACCAGCCAAGATGGCACCACTGCACTCCAGCCTGGGTGACAGAGCGAGACTATCTCTCTCAAAAAGAAAAGGTTGTGTACATGTAATGGAATATTATGCAGCCTTAAAAAGGAAGGAAATTCTGTCACATGCCACAACATGAATGAACCTTGAAGACACTGTGCTAAGTGAAATTAGCCAGTCACAAGAAGAGAAGCACAGCATGATTCCACTTGCAGGAGGGTATCCACAGTGGTTGAGTTCATAAAAAGACAGAAAGGAGAATGGTGGTTACCAGGGTCGCGGGGAGGGGGAAACGGGAAATTAGCGTTTATTGGGCACAGAGTTTCAATTGGGAGATGACAAAAAGGTGTGGGGATGGGTGGGGGTGACGGCTGCATACCAATGAGAACACACTTAATGACGGTGGATTTCGAGCTTTAAAGATGATTAAATGGTAAATCTTATGTTTTGTATGTTTTACCACAATAGCAAAAGGCCATAACAAAACAAAAAATCCACCTCTTCCTCTCAGGAAGCTCCCTGAACATTCCCGTCACCTCCCCAAACACGTGTGTTGCCCCCGCCGCCCAACCCCAATTCCCCACGACCCAGCTGCGTGGAGCTGCCCACACCCTGCTCCATGCATTCCATGCACATTCCCAGTGCCCTGCAGGGACGGCCTCATGTCTACCCTCCCAGACCAAGGGGCTCTGCAGGCAGGCACTCTGTCTCATTCCCCTCTCCTGCCCCACATCCAGCCCACGTCCACAGCAGAGTTTCTTCAGTGAAGGAATGAATCCCCCAAAGCAATAGCTCTGGGTTAGTACTATCCCAAACCTCACAGCCTGTTCTCTCCAGAACAGCGATTTACCTCTACTATTCATCAACAAACCCCTCCCCCACCAAAGATCTTCCGTCCTTCCATTAAGCAACAAGGTCAGAAGGGGGAATTCAGCGGACGAAGTTAATAAACAGCTAACTTGGGAGGAATAAACAAAATAAAAACCCAGGGTAGGCCGGCACAGACATGACCTTGCATCTAATGACAGCACAGTCCACCCCCCTCCCTCCTCTGCTTGGTGGGTGGGCTGATTCACTTCCTGTGTCCCTTCCCAGGGCAGCGTGAGAGGGGAAAGTTGGGGGGCTGGGTCCTGGGGCATGGATAGATGATTAGTCACCATGCTGCCCTGCACTGGAAGGCCACTGACCTTAGTGTGTGGGCCCAGACCACAGACCTCTCTCCCCGTCACTCCGAGCCCCAGCCCCCACCCCAATTTATATAACCCAAGGTCTGGAAAGCGAAGGGAACTGGCCTTGGCTGTCAGCATGAGGTCCAGGGGGCCCCTCCACCTGTAAGTCCCTGCATGGCCCACCTGTTGACTCTTCATTCACACAGTCCACATTCATGAAACAGGCTGGGAAGAGAAAACGGTCTCCCCTGTCCTGAGGATGACCATTGGGAGGGTATTCAGAGATCATTTAACCTAGGGGTCTCAACCAGAGATGGGATGTCCCCGAGAGGACATTTGGCAATGTCTGGAGACAGTTTTGTTTGCCAGGAAGGGAAGGGGACGTGCTGCTGTGGTGTCTGGTGGGTAGAAGCCAGGACTGCTGCTCACCTCCCGCAATGCACTGCACCCTCCCCTCCAATTCCCCCCCAAAAAAAGAATTATCCAGTCCCAAAAGGCAATAGTGCTGAGGTTAAGAAACCATGATGAATTCAAGCTGTACAGAAGAGGAAACTGAGGCAAATGGAGAGCGACAGGATCAAAGTCACACTGTGCATTAGATAGTCTCAGAATTAAAATCCAGGGCTTTCTACCAACCACACCAGCCTTCAGCTCCCAGGAGTGCAGCGACCAACTCCAAGACCAGTGGAAAGCTAGTGGAGTGGCTGAATTTGGGACTCTGGGGTCCAGAAGCCATCATCGTTGGGCTCTGTGTCTCTGGCAGGCTCCAAATGAATCCCACCAAAGTGAGCCAATCAGCTTGGCCACAGGGCTCCCAAATAATCAGAAGAAGACTGTCTTAAGGGGCTACGGTGTGTCCAGGCAGAATGACCCTCCCTGTCTGAGGCTTGGGCAAAACTTACCCCTTAAGTCCATAGCATGCTGGGGGTAGTCCTGGCTGAGGTCAAGATCAGAAGACAGGGTGACTGTGTAAGGCAAAACCTGGATTGGAGGACAGGACATGGGTAAGAATTAAACCTTGGATCACTGCTTTGTGGGCATCGTCTTTTTTGCTAGATGCCAAAAATGACTGTATCTCTCGCACCTGCTGGATCCCCACTGCCATCCTGCTTAATTTCAAACTGACGTCTAGAGTCACCTTTACCCTTTTCGCCAAGGAGCCCACACTGTGTCTCCAACTGAGAGCCAGAAACCAGGGCACCAGAGCTGATGGTGCAATCCCATTATTTATGAACCACTGACTCACATCATGTTGCAACAGGTGTGCTTTTCCATCCACTGCCGCTGAAAGTCAGCTAACTCGCAGTCACCGTGTAATAAAAAGAAGGCCAGAGCAGCAGTGCATGAAGCTCTGTCTTAGGTCAGGTCTTCACCCTCTTCAGGAGCAAGGAGCCCACAGACAGTGGTTGGGGACAAGGATGGTGGGGTAGGGGAGGTGCCCCTCTGGGTAACTCTGGAGGCAGCTGGCCTGAAGGTTCTTGCCAAGGGCCTCTTAAGCACCCCTAGCAACCAAGGTAATTCAAAGTGAGGGACAGAGACCCAACTTTAAATTAACTTGAGTCTAATTAGGAAAAGCTCCAGCTCTGCCTCCAAGAGTCACTCCTCGCCTCTGGATCTCAGTCTCCTCATCTGTAAACTGAGAACGGGAGCGTTGGATGTGTTCATCTACTCAGCACATGTTAACTGAGCACCTACTACATTCTGATGCCTGGAGATAGACCAGGGAATGAGAGAGACGGAAAGCCTTGCCCTCACAGAGCTGATATTCTAACAGGGAAGACAGATGGCAAACAAGATTAAAGAGGGAAATCTCTTGGCTGTCGGAAGCGGATATGAGCTACGGAAAATGAAGCAGAGAGGAAACGGGAGACACAGCTGCAAAGGCTTTGTCCAGCTTAGAGACTCTGGGTTTAAACCTCTTACTCTGCTGGATCCTTGGTAGGAGCCAAGAATGGTGGCAGGAAACTGGGCAGGGCCATGTGTGAGTACAGGGACAGCTCTCGGGGATGGCAGGGTGGTAGGTCTGTGCACGGGCTTGAGCCCCAGTCAGTCTCTCAGTGGCTTCCCCCAGGGAACAGAATTGACCAGTCTTGGCATGCTGGCCTGTCCTCAGGTCAAAGGCAGACACCTGGGTCTGCTGAGGAGTCCAGGGGTCACACAGGGTTCCTGGGGCAGGGCCTCAAAATTCCTGACTAAGGGGAGGATTTCTTCAAAGCAGGTGGGCGGCATCCTCAGGGCACTGCTAGGGACTCTTCTACATCCTTCACTCTGCCCTGGTCTTCGATGAACAAGACACTGGCCACCTCCACCTACAGGGGCTCTCAGAACCTTCCTTCCCTCCAACTGACCCTCCCCGGCGTGGTAGGGTGTCCCCTTCCCTCACATGAGGAGGGAGGGAGAGGGATTTGAAAGTCCCCATTTCTGGCTGGGCACAGTGGATCACACCTGTTATTCCAGCACTTTGGGAGGTAGAGGCAGGCAGATCGCTTGAATTCAGGAGCTCAAGACCAGCCTGGACAGCAAACATAGTGAGACTTCACCTCCATAAGACCAAAAAATACAAAAAATTAGCCAGGCACGATGGTGCGCGCTATAGTCCTAGCTACTAAGGAGGCTGAGCTTGAGCCCAGGAGGCGGAGGTTGCAGTGAGCAGAGATCGTGCTACTGCACTTCAGCCTGGGCAACAGAGCAAGACCCTGTCTCAAAATGTGTGTGTGTGTGTGTGTGTGTGTGTACACATATGTCTATATGCAAGGACGCTGGGCTAAAAAAACAAAAAGCTCCCCCGATTTCTTATGAATCCACAATTTCTCTTCCTGTAGGGATTATTTTCGAAAATATGTCTTGCAAACCTGTGTGCTTAGAATGAGTGAGGGATGCCAAGATGCTGCAAAAGAACTTACAGCCAACTGGAGAGGCCAGGCGAACACACATGAGAAAATAAGTCCACTCTTACAGTTTGCTTCGCCGCCTACAGAGCCCTTTGGAACCACTTACTATCTCCTAAAACCATGCAGGGTCTGTTCTCATTTTTGCAGATGAGGAAATTGAGACCCAGAAAACCACCTTCTCTTCCCCTAATTCATAGCTGTCCCATGGAGTGGTAAAGAGAGAGAGAAGACAATGAAGATTAAAATTTCCAAGTAATTCCAATTCTTACCCCTGAAGGGATGGGTAAGAATTCTATGTCAAGAGACAAAGTTGCTCTGCCTCCAGCCTAGGGTAACGTTAAGCTGGGCATGGAACCCACCAACCCCTGCCTCTCCTTGGCAGGACGAGATGTGGGTTGAGGATAAATCCAAAGTGCCCGTCTTTCTGGAAAAGTCCATGGGGGCTGGGCACGGTGGCTCATTCGTGTAACCCCAGTACTTTGGGAGGCCAACGCAGGTGGATCACCTGAGGTCAGGAGTTTGAGACCCACCTGGCCAACATGGTGAAACCCTGTCTCTACTAAAAATACAAAAATTAGCCGAGCGTGGTGTTGGGCACCCATAATCCCAGCTACTCAGGAGGCTGAGGCAGGAGAATTGCTTGAACCCAGGAGGTGGAGGGTGCAGTGTGCTGAGCTGAGATTGCGCCCCTGTACTCCATCCTGGGCGATAGAGCAAGACTCAGTCTCAAAAGAAAAAAAAGAAAAAAAAAAGAAAAGAAAGAAAAGCACATAGGATTAAGGATGTGCTTTTGGTGTAAGGAGAAAAAGTTTCTCCACGTGGGTAAGGGTGCCAAGGAATCTCAGTGGTGGGGCTGAACACCTTTCTGATGCAGCTTTTCAGAGTGCCCTTTCTGCTTGCCAAGGGCAGAGATAAGGCAGCTGGAAAAGAATCTTTGCTGTTGCAGGTGAGTTCACTCCATTCTCGCAGAGCGCCTTCCCTGTGCCAGGTACTATGGCTACCGCAGGAAACAAAGCAGGCCCCTGCCCTCCTGCAGCTCTGGGAGCTTAGCAAGGCACTGGCTGGCTCTTGGAGGACTTTCCTGACTGGAGTTTGTGTCTGCCTGGAGGTGCCCAGTCCCGTGAACCCCTGTCACGGGAAGAACCTAGTGGGGCGGGGAGTATCCAGGGAAGAAACAAACCCCGCTGAGTCCAGGGCACTGCAAGAATGCAGAAGCAACCCTCCGGCTCTGGAAGGCTGTGGCGGGGCACCCTCCACTCAGTGTGGAGAAAAGTCCATCCGCTTCTCCAGCGAAGGGCTGCGCCTCGCTGGGCCTCCTTGTCTCCTCATCTGCCCATGTGCTAATATCTACTTGTCATTTGTTTGTTAGGTTCAAATGACATCAGGGATGTGTCCCTGCTGGCCGCCAGCTCTTCTCAGATCCCCTGACCTCTCCCCATCTCTTCTCTGGCTCTGCGTGGGAAGGGGCAGTTGTCACCCCCCGACCCCCACTAAGCTGAGCCCTCCTCCCACCCTAAGCGGGAGGAAGCCGGTTCTGCTCATGGATGAGAGTTACCGGGCTCCTGAGCTCTGGCTCTGCTGGACTGGGGTCCGCCCCCTCTCCTGGTCTCCTCCGACTGGGACTGGAAGTGCTGGGGGAGCCAAGAGATGCTCAGTTGGGGACTGCGGCCAGTGACAGAGCACAGGGAACTCCTTGGAGCTGGGCACCCAATTCGGCAGGGCTGGGACGGACCCCCGCGGGTAGAGGGCCGCCCCTCACCCACACTGTCCCGCTCAGTCCCGGCTCACATCTGGCTCAGGAGGAGGGAAGCCCAGATGTAAAGAAGTCGCCAACTGTGCAGCCCCAATCCAAGGCTTTTATTAAAGTGAGGGGTGGCGGGAGCGGGGCGGTGGAGGAAAGGTAAGCCGCGCAAACGCCCTGGAGAGTGAGAGACAAGGTGTGACCAGGCAAGACACCCCCCGCCTCCTCCCGCACCCCGATGGCAGCAGAGAGCCTTGTGCAAGGCGGCGGCCGCCCCACCTTCACACCGACCCAGCGCGCTACCAAAGTGGCCGCGCCGCCCGCCGCCGCGTCAGGGCCGCCCGGGCTCAAACTTTCCGAGACCCGCCCTCGGAGCGGCCACCCGGGCTCCACCAGCGCAGGGCCGCGGCGGGCGGGTGCGCGTGGACCGGGAGGTGGGGGGGCCGGGCGCGGCGGGGCGTTGCCTGGGGTTACCTGGGTTCCGAGGGTCTCGGCGTCCCGGGGACAGGGCGCGGGGACGGCACAGGCGGGCCCGAGACCAGACGATCCTCCCGGGCCACGGCGACCCCGGACTCGCAGGCGCTGCACCTGGCCCTGCGGGTCGCCGCGCCTACCCACGCCGGTCCCGCCCGTCCCCTCCCGCGCGGGGCGGGGCGGCCCCAGGGGAGGAGCCGAGGGCTGTGGGCACCACTCCCTGAGCCAGGCCTGCGCCTCATCACGTGCCACCGACCCCGTGTCTGTGACCTCCAAAGGCTCGCCACCCCACCACCCCCCACTCCAAAGTCTGAGGTGCCACCAAAGCCATAAGCCAGGGAGTCAGGGGGCATGCTAGGCCTCTCACACCCCATTCTCCTAGGGCACATGTACCCTAGCCCACCTCCACCCCAGGGGCCTGCAGGGAGGCTGCAGAGCCTTCTTGAGGCAAGGAGAGCTACAGAGCTTCCCCCTGGAGAACTGCATGGGGTGGAGTGCAGGGAGGGAGGGAAAAACAACTGTGTGCCCCGCAGCCCCACCGCGGGGTCCACGTCCCTGGTGGGAGAGGCTTCTGGCCGCTCTGAACCCTTGAAGTGACTTCCACCCCTCTCTCTTGGAGTGCTGTGGGGGTGGGGGGGGTCCTCTGCCAGCCCTCACCTTTTCCCAGGTCTCCTGTCGCAGATTACGGGCTCCTAGACTGCAAGGTGCTGGGCCCGGACCTCTGCCACTCAGTGGACACAGCGATGAGATGAGGGGACACAGAGGGCAAAGAAACATTTGGCTTCGGGAACCGGCCTCTGTGGCTTCTTTCAGGTGCTGAAGGAACAGGTTGCAGGTACCTCATGACCCCACTCAGATCCTGCCAGATAAAGGTTGGAACATCCACCCCTGTGGACCAAACTCCCCACCAGGCTCCGTCCTCCCCTCCTTCAGCCCCAGGCTCTCTGAGCTCCTGCTCCTCCCTGCCTTGCCTTGCTTACTGAGGGCGTGGACAGCGGAGAGAGCACAGGACCTGGGGTCCACAGACCTGGGCTCTAGTCTCCTCTGGGACTTGGGACAAGTCTCTGGACCTTTGCGGGCCTAAGTTGCCCCATTTGCAGTGACTAGGTTGCAGTCAATTACCTCTGGCCAGTTTTGTGGATCCTGAATTGTGGTATTGGGCACCTTGCTTTATTAGGCCTTTTGGTGGCTGTGCATCTTGTAAGGGTGTGTGTGTGTGCGCGTGTGCGCACGTGCACTTGTCCTCTCAGACCTAAGTTCTTGTTTATTTTTTGAGACAAGGTCTCACTCTTGTTGCCCAGGCTGGAGTGCAATGGTGCATTCTCGGCTCACCACAACCTCTGCCTCCTGGGTTCAATCAATTCTCCTGCATCAGCCTCTGGAGTAGCTGGGATTACAGGCATGTACCACCACACCCAGCTAATTTTGTATTTTCAGTAGAGATGGGGGTTTCTCCATGTTGGTCAGGTTGGTCTCAAACTCCCAACCTTACGTGATCCTCCCACCTCAGCCTTCCAGTGCTGGGTTACAGGCGTGAGCCACTACATCTGGCCTCAGGTCTAAGTTCTTAAAGGGAAAGAGCCTGGGGACTACCCAGAGACAGGTACAGGTATTGATCGACTTATGACCTATGCAACTTACGACCATTCGACTTTACGACCACAATCGCTAGCCACGACTGCTCCGCGTCTGGCAGCGCAAACGTTGCCCAGCTGAGCGTACGACAGTGCGGACCAGCTTCCAGCAGCACTACCATCTCCGCGTGCACCATTTCAACTGTACATATAGCTTACTCAACTTACGACCAAATCGTGTTACGACCGGTCCGCAGTCCCAACCGTGGTCATAAGTCGAGCACTAGCTGTATGTATATTCTGCAGACCAGAGCTTGACAAGAATGGGCACAAGAAGAGTGGAGCTCAGTCCTGGCTCTTTGCTAAATTCAGAGTAGCCTTAAACAAGCCCCTCACTATCTACAAAATGGAGATTAACAATCCCTGCTTTTCCTTTCCAAGGCTAGTTGGGGGACTCAGTGAGATATTAGATATGAAGCTCTTTGAAGGGGACAGCACAGGGCTGTGTGCTCTCTGACACCACCTTTTGATGCCTGGGCCAGTGATGGGTTCAGGGGCAGAACAGAGTGTGAAGCGTTCTCTGGGAGGCAAAGCCCGGCACTAACCTGGTTGCCCACCCTGCCGATGCTGCAGCGTGCACAGCTCAGACAGGCACCCCACCAGCAGCAGCCAAGGTAAGCAGAGATGCCCTGTGCTCACACAGACTCCTGCCTGCTGCAGGCATCTGTGTGCGCACCTTGGGGAAACTAAACAGGGAAGATAAAGAGGCTCCCAACCTGCATAGAGGTGGTCAGTGGATTACTGATGAACTGATCTACACGTCTTGGCCAAAAATGCCCTCCTCTGCTCTTAGGGAATTTAAAGTTTAGCTGAATGATTGAACATGAATGCTTTGGAGAAAGATGTGGAGCCAGGAGGGAAATTATGGATGGTGAGCACACAGGATGATCACAGGAGGGGGAAGGGCAGGGAGGGGCTGGGGAGGGGGGTATTTAGACCACCTGGAGATGCATTTAGAGAGTATTGTGTTTGGCCGGGCGTGGTGGCTCACACCTATAATCCCAGTACTTTGGGAAGCTGAGGCTGGCGGATCACGAGTTCAGGAGTTCAAGACCAGCCTGACCAACATGGTGAAACCCCATCCCTACTAAAAATACAAAAATTATCCGGGCATGGTGGTGCTCACCTGTAGTACCAGCTACTCAGGAGGCTGAGGCAGGAGAATCACCTGATCCCAGGAGGCGGAGGTTTGCAGTGAGCTGAAATCTTGCCATTGCATTGTAGCCTGGGTGACAGACGAAGACTCTGTCTCAGAAAAAAAAAAAAGAGTATTGTGTTCAATACTCCTATTTCATAGTGATGAAATGGAGGCCCAGAGAGGGAAAGTGGCCTGCCCAAGGTCACACAGTCACAGGAAGTTAGTAGCAGAGCTAGAACTTGGACCCAGGACTTCAGGACTCTGCTGGATTTGGGCCTCCCGTGCAGCCCAGGGAGCCCTGGAATGCGTGAAGGGTTGGGATACGCACCAGTGGGCAGGGAGAAGGAGAGAGGCAAGGTGCAGAGGTGGGATCCTTTTGAGCAAGGGAGAGGAGCTGGAATCACAGGCAGGATCTGGAAGGAGGGAGCTGCACAGAGCTGGAAAGCCAGGCTGAACGCTGCAGACCGCAGAGGATTTCGTGCCCATACCAGCTGGGAAGATACAGGTGTGGGAAGAGGCACAAGCCCCATGACCCAGTGAGATAGCGCGTGACCTGACAGCAAGGCAGCGAGGAGACGGGGCAGAGCAGCTCGGGAGTCAGGCAACCTCTGTTCAAATGGCTTTGGAGCAAGTTGTTTCTCTTCTCTGACCCTCAGTTTCTTTATCTGTGGAGTGGGAGAGAATAATCTTCTTTTCCTTTCAGGATTATTGTGGTGACCACAGAATATATTTGGAAGTGCTCTGTAAACTGCAGAGTGCTGGGTAAACGTAGTATTTGGAGTTGTGTTTTATTTTCCAAAGGCCTCAGTAAACATTTATGGAACTGACTGATACTGGATTGAGCAGTCTCCTCACAACAGTGGGCAGAGGGAGTCCCGGCGAGGGTGGGAAGGAAGGAGAGTTCCAGTCTTAAATGTCAGTCTCCCTCTGACATCTTTACAGCATAACTCAAAAAGCCTTTTTGGGGGAAAACAGTCCTACTGTGACTCAAAATGCCCGTGTATTCAAGGGGCACCATATCAGATATCACTACTCTATGTGTTCATGAACCACCCCCACCAGGCGTCTACCCCTCAGGCACTCACCAGCTCCTCCTGGGTGGACCCAGACGTCATATTTGTTTACAAAGCCTTGTTGAACAGCAGAAAAGGTACAACAGAAACCATCGTGCTCAGCTAACATGGCCAGACTCTGGTCCTTCACGGGCATTCTCGGCTCCCTGGCACTCAACCCTACCCTAATACGTAAGTCCGCTCCCTCCTCTGATCTCCTCGGCAATGGAGTCACCAGGCAGGGCTTACTGGCCCACTTGGCAGATGAGAATACAGAGGCTGGGAGAGGTGCCAGAACCCAGCAGCATGAAACCTAGAACAGCCTCACCCGCACCATGGGAGTTGCCCTGCTGATGAGGCATCATCTCATCAGGGCTGGAGGTATTTGCCTCATTAATGGAGGAAGAAATGGCTGCTAATGGCAAGGACCTGCTTTATGGGAATTTCTTCAGAGGTTTCTTTTCTGCCACTACATCCAGACAAGGGGTCCATGTTGCCAGTGGTTTCCTAGTGCTGCTGTGACAAATGACCATGCACAGCACCTTAAAACAACACACGTGTACTCTCCCATGGTCCTGAAGGCCAGAAGTCCCCAGTCAGGGCGTTAGCAGAGCCGTGCTCCCTCTGAAGCTTCCCTGCCTCCCTCTGACCGCTGCCCATCCCTGCCCCCTGCGTTTATGGTCCCTCCGCCCATTACCCTGAAGAGACACAGGACCCAATCCAACATGGGTCAGATCCACACATGCTTACTGAGGCCTTTGGAAAATAAAACCCAACCTCAAATACTGAATTTGCTTAGCTCTCTGCTGTTTACAGAGCCACTTCCAAATGCATTCTGCAGGGACCACAGTAACCCTGAGAGGGAGAGTCCTTCCTGTGTCTCCCAGCTTCTGGTTCCCAGCATCCCTGGGCTCGTGGCAGCATCACGCAATTTTGCCTGTCTTCACAGCCTGTCTCTGTGTGTCTGCGCCTCTCCTCCCTGTAGGACAGCAGTCACTGGAGTCAGGATGAGCTCATCTCAAGATCTTAACTTAATTACATCTGCAAAGACCATTTTTCCAAGTAAGGCCACAGTCACAGGTAGAGGTAAGGAAGTGGACACTGTTCAATCCACACTGGTGTCTTTCCCCCACTGGCAGCACAAGGGGGTCCAGTAAGGTCAGTCTCCTCCTTTTGTCCTTCCCTCAACTTCTCGCTGTGCTAGAGAGGGTCTCCTGTAGCATCTTCTCCTCTCTGGTCACGCTATGGAGGAGAAAGGAGGCTAAAGCCATATAGGGTCCTTGCTGGGGCATAGCGCTGGGGACTTACCTCCCTCTAACTCCCGTT